ATAATCCCCACATCTTCCTACAGTGCATAACAAAAAAGAAATCAGATAAAAATGATCTTCAATGTGATGAGTTTTCTTCATGCTTCAAAATTTAATGTGTGCACATTGGGTCATCAAACCTTATAGCGGTGATATTGATCAACAGTGATATCTCCATTGCTGCCATCGCTAATCTTTTCTGCAATTAATCATAGAAAATTTATTTATTTAGAGCATAAGAGTAAAAGTAGCACGATTTTGTTATTTTAACTAATTGATGATTTGACTGGACAAACCTGGATATTTGTGGGTGAAGGTATCCCAAATGCTTGGTCCTCTACCACCTTCCTTTGCAGCACCTTCATACTGAAATACACAAGAGACACAATGAAGAAGATGCATGGATCGATGCTTGGTCTGAATTTGAAAGAAAACCCTAATCAAAACTCAAATTAAAGCCCAGAAAAGGACTTACTTGGTAAGATCCAGAGCCTACACCAAATATGAACCCTTTTGGAAAACTGCTCCTGTTGAGAGAAGCAGTGTCAAATTGTGTGGGTGGAGCTCTAATATCAGCTTCGCTATTTGTGAAAGCAAAGCCAATTAGTAGCAGTATGCCTAAGAGAAAAGAACGTAATTGCATTGCCATAACTTGAGGTTTTTTTTGTTGTTGTTGGTAATAATCTTGAGAAGTATAAGTTGGCTCTGGCTGGCATGCTGCATGGCCTTTATATGGAGGAGGAAGTACGTGCTGCGCATGAGAATAGTAAACACACATGGGCATTGAATGGGTTTGAGGGGGCAACTACGTAGAATGTCATGGTACAAAGGGAAATAGGGCAAGTTTCATATTTGAATGAGTTTGTCGTTGTCTCCTCCTCAACTGCTATATTCAAACACGCAATATAGTAAATATTTGGTGCATATGTGTGAGTAGCAGCAAAGTCTGATTGAGTCTCCTAATAGCCATTTGGGTCAAACTGTGAAAAGAAATTTGACACAGAATTGTTTTCTTCACAATGTAAATTTGTAGATTGTTTAAATTCTTGGGCATAATATGTGATTCTCTTTTGTGTTTGACGACCTAGGCAGTGTATAATAGAATTTTACTATTATTTCTTTTAAACATCAGAAAATCATGTCCAATTGGTGGGGTTTTCACAAACGATCTTGAGGTTAGTTGAAACTTAAGCAATGGTTGGGGATTATTTTGGTGAAAAACCCTAAATATATATATATATATGTATATAAAGAAAGTCCATTTATGGGTAGATGATAGATACTTTGTTGGGTTCACTCTAGATACTTTGTAGGGTCTACTCCGCAATTTATTTGAAGAATATCTTGTAGGGCCTACTTCGCATTTAATTTTTTGTGATATAAACGCCTATTTTGTAAATATTTATGCACACATTGTGGATTGACTAATTTTTAATCGAATAGTTAAAAGTCACATGGTCTAATTTATAAACAAGAAGCTATTATCTTCAAGGTGCGAAAAAAGAGATTATGCATTTATTATCTCTGAAACCGTCAAAATAATATTAAAAGAGAAAAAGAAAACAAGAAAACGTTGTGAAGACGTTGTAATCACTGAAAGAAAAATAACGTAATTGCCGAACTCATCCTTACATATTTATGGTCAAAGTAATGACATTGGCTTCCACTGTTCCACCTACAATTCTCATAGCAATTTTCTTTCTGCTTACCCTAAACATGCAGAAATGACTTTTAATGGTATATTCTAGTTCGTTGAACAAAAAAGAAATCACATATATTATGTACAAAAAACTTAAGAGTGTCAAGAAAATAATGGTCCGTCAAATTCTTTTCAAAATTTGACCACACTAATCGTGTTTGACTAAATCAGAATTTTGCAGCTACTCTCACTATTCGTGTATGACAATTCATCCAAATATGAAATTTTCCATTTGTACCATGACGTTCTACAGAGTTGCGCCCTCAACACCCTTTCTAATGGCATGCACGTGTTTTGCAAAGAAATTTATTTCACCATGCCAACCAGAGTCAACTCATACTTATCAAGATAACCAATAAAAAACATCTTTACTTATGGCAATGCAATTAGGGTCTTTTCTCTAATTTCTAATCATCAATTCACTTATTTTCTCATTTTCTGATGTTGGATTCATAATTAAATCTAATTAGGGTATACTAGTGATTTGCTCCCTAAACTTGTACCTAACTTTCGATTACCCCCTATCTTTTTTTTATTTAAGAAAAGTAAGGATATGAACTTTTTTTTCCTCCAATCCCTCCCCCCAGTCTAAATCCTCAACATTTCATCCATGCCGTTAAATATAAGGGTAAAATGGTCATTTTGTATGTTAAAAATATGTAAATAATGAAAAATAAAATGAAATAATACTCCTCTCTCTCTCTCTCTCTCTCTCTCTCTCTCTCTCTCTCTCTGTGAGAATTACAGGCATACTTCACTAAGCTTAGAGTTTTATCGCTGCCTAACAATGAACTTAAGTTGATTTTGGGGTGGATCTCGCATGGGTATGGGGCTGGGGTATGGGTCTCAGTTGGGGAGAGAGAATATATATATATATATATATAAAGAGAGAGAGAGAGAGAGAGAGAGAGAGAGAGAGAGAGAGAGAGAGAGTGTGTGTGTGTGTGTATATTTTTTTTTTTTTGTAGAAGAGGAGGAAGGGGAGGGGGGGGGAGGAGACGGAAGGGGAAGGACAAGATAGATCGGAGGGGGAAAGTGCAGGAGATGAAAGGGGTAGGAGGGTAAAGGGAAGAGGAGGAGGAAGGGGAAGGAGGACTGGGTTCTTCAAGTTGGGGGAGGGGGGGTTTGGCTCTAGGTTTACTCTTTTTCTTAAATTTTTTACAAAAAAATAATTTTTTTTAAATAATTTAACCGAAAATTGGATGAAATGTTGAGAATTTAGACGATAAGGGGGAAATTGGCAAAAAAGAGAGTTCATATCCTTAATTTTCTGTATAAAAAATAGCATAAGGGACAAATCAAAAGTTAAGTACAAGTTCAAAGAGTAAATCTCTAGTATACCCATCTAATTATAATAAGGAAAGGAAATAAATATCAATGTGTTGTAAATGCATGAGCTGGTGGATGACCACCATACCACATAGTATTCCACCGTTGGATTTTATGTAACCTATGCACTAAGTATTTGTAATTAGTGCTTGTAACCTATAGGTATATTGTAAATGATGGGATTCAATTTCCTATCTTGTAAGCCTATAAATAGGTGGTTCTACCAAAGATTAAGTGAAGAATAAACATGGTGAAACTTTATCTTTAGCATATCACTTTTCTCTACATTTTCTCCCTTTAGTTTTTTAACACATTATCAGCACGACATTGCTCTTGGTATGTTTTCTTCGTTTGAATTTTCTTTCTTTTTATATGAGCTAGAGTCACCACATGGTATAGAGTTTCTTTATACTCACCATCAAACTTCATCATGCTCGTTTAAGGAAAAAAATTCTTATTCTTATTACACATGAATATAATGCCATGATTTTTTATTTGTTTGTTTATTTAATTTTAAGTATGATCTTAATTATTATGATGAGTTTGTATTATACAAAAGATCAAGGCCCAAAGTTCCTCGATCCTCATCATATAGCTAGATTAGGACCTGGAGTTCTTTTGATTGAATCAGAATCTGAAGTTCTTTGATTCCAAATAATCGAGGGCATAAAGTTCCGCGAATTTAAAGAGCACATAAGGACATGAAACTCCTCGATTTTGTATTAATCAAAATCAGAATTCCATAAGGCCTACATATGTCAAGAACCTGAACCAGAAGTTTCGAGTGCATATACATCGATTTGAGTATGAAGTTCAAAGCACAACTATTAATTCAATTTATTTAGATCTACGTATTCAAACCTGAAGTTTCGAATATATATTTATATGAACCTGAAGTTCATAGTTTTTCATGGATCTTAATACTATATATGAACCTAAAGTTCATTACTTATTTGTGCCTATATGAACCTAAATTGGTTAGAAATCCAATTCTTAAACTTGTAGTTTTATCTACATATTGAATCCACATTAATATTGGATTGTCTTGGAATTTCATAGTCTTTAATTTTTTTTTTATTTTATTCATCGTTTATACCACTTTACTCATTTTATTTTATTTATGTTGGATTATTAGTTAATTTCGTCTTACAATGGTAATGTTTTGTATTACCACCCCAATATTGATAGCCAGAGACGTCTATTGGAGAAACTTCCTACTTTCTTTTGTGGGTAGGAAGTTTATGATGTCATGAACCAAAAGTTTATGAGGCCCCAATATTACACAACTATTATAGTGTTGAAGATTATGATGTTATGAACCAGAAGTTCATTGATCGGATAACTTTTATGTTGTGGCATGACTATTTTGGCAATCCATGTTCTACAATGATACATAAGATTTTTATAAATTTGTAAGGACATCATTTAAAGACTCAAACTATTGTCTTGTCCAACAAATATCATTACACAGAATGCTCACAAATAAAAGCTGTCATGAGTTCATCTCAGTCAAAAATTGACTTTGAGCCATCTTTCCTTAAATAATTCAAGGGGATTTTTGTGAGCCTATACAACATTTAATTATGGATCACTTCACCAGTTTTATTGAATGTGCCTACTAAAATGGTCACATATTTGTCTATTGTCAAGACACTTATGAGCACAACTCCCACATTATCCAATCCAGTCAATTTGACTTGATAATGATGATGAGTTTATTTTCCTAAATTTTGAGACTATTTCCCCGCCATTAGGGGGGAGAAATGACAGTTCCTGAAGAACGTCGTGAAATACTGTTGAATCGGTACGCTTTTGTGTCATCAAGATAATGCATATATAAAGTTATGAATATGCAAACATGGATTGATATTCATGTATCACAATACATTAACATGACAATAAGTGACTATGAACATGACAAAAATATAGGTTCTAAAAACTTAACTCCCTAGAAGTGGAGATTATTTGAAAAATTCAAGCTCTATAAAAAATAACACTCTATATGAGGTTATGATCCACATATTCTAATTAATTCATTGTAAAAGAGATGTTTGTCCCATAAATGACAACACCAGCCCCAGAAGGGGCATTGGTACCCTAAAGCAATGAGATGCTTATAAATTATGCATGTGCATGCACATGAGAATTGTGGGATCACGAATTGATGATACATTTGGTTTATTAGTAGCTACTACAATCATCAAGGGCTATGATTATATTAAATCGCCTTATGAATGTCGACAAGTTAAGTGATTGGCCAAAATGGAAATAGGCAATTCCATTTATCACTAAATATGAAGTATGAGATATTAAACCTATAACTCAAACACCAAATTACAAATGTTAAGTATAAGTTGCGAATTGGTGCTTGTGAAGTGAAATAAGATCACTAATATGACATAAGGTTTCCTAGTAGAGACATGATTTTAGTCCCCCATCTCATCATAGATGCATCCACATTTCTATAACTACAATTGTTATTTTAACGCGAAACTTATAGCATGTGTTAAATGCATATTTATTAAGACTGTATGATACATGAAGATCCTCAAAGCTCATGAAATATTTGAGATATATCTCATGAAGCGACCCCTTGAAGGATATAAAGTACCCCCGATATT